AATACATTTTAATGCTCTGGATTTTATTGGGGTAACAGATTGAACTGGTTTAAACAGACTTGTGGATACAGGATTTTAGATATTATTAGTATCTATATTGATGTATCACATGAGATCAGTGAAACATAAATAGAGGTTTTTGTATTACTAGAAGTAGAAAAGTTCTCCTATAGGAAGGTCCTTTGACTTTCTACCACACTTTATTTACACCAATTTAACTGTACAGTTACCGTTGTTCTATAAAACCCGACTAACCTTTTAAACATTAGAAAGGTATTAAAACATTTTCAAACTTAAAAAAACAAAGTCTGTAATGGCTGATATGGGCTGAGTGCAAATTTGGCTAAGTTTAAACACCAACAGCTAAAACTAAATCGCTAATCTGCTGCAATACTTTATAATTATAAAGTGGCTCTAGAATAAAGATTTTGAGCTGATTTAAAAAGTATTAGATTCAATCTTCTGATAAAATCATGATAAAATCTTCACCATCTTAACAACAATATTAACGAAAAGCCAATGTCAGGTTAAGCTAAAAAAAAAAAAAAAAACTGTTTAAAATGAATATATAAATAAATCGAATCCCTGCATTTGGATGTTTCTAATTTAAACACAGTTACACATGACCGAATAATTGTTTCTCTCTTTCTAGAAGGACTTTTAGCTTTGGTATTAATAAAAGTCATTAAGTGGCTTGATTCAATACCTTCAACAAAAAGTTTCAAGTCACACCCCTAAAATATATCATAGTTTTTAAATGTATTTCATAACATGCACATATGTGTGGTATTTTTACAGATCAAAAACCATAGAACTGTATAGAACTCTTTAAAATATTTATAGAGCTCTAAACATTTTAAGCTTTTTTTTTTTCAACCAATGGAGTAGTAGAAAAACAGCTGAGGTCATTCTTGTATAATCATCTAACAGATTCCCTTATATTTTCCATATATTCTAGCTTTTATCAATACAAAGTAGTAGTTTTATTTGTTTTCTGGGGGGTGCTCTGACAAAATATGCTTATTGCTTTAAATGTTTGAGCTTGGAAGGTTTAAAAAAAGTTACCTAAACATCTCCACTGCAGTCTGCATCTAAATTTAGCTGGAGATATTTAGGCCTAGAGGAAGACTATGTGACGACTAGACATTAAATGTCATCTATTTCAAAGTTGCTCTGGTCAGGGTGAGATATAAACCCAAACAAATGTGCAATATGATGCAAAAAGCTTTAAAAGTACAGAGAAAAAAAGCTGTTCTTCTGAAAGCTGTGGTTTATTTTTGCTCATATATATACAGTAAGTGTGACCTTTTCAGTTTCAGAAATCATTTAGATCAAAATTCAATGATTTCTCACAATTAAAATTATATTTTTTGCAGGTAGGTTACTGTCTGAAACCTACATACATTCTATTAATTCAAACAAGGTGGTAAGTTTCAACTCTTGGAATTTATTCAATTCCAAAGAGATACTTGCACATGCATGTGTTTTCATTATGTATGTGTTTTATGAACTTGAATCAATTAATATTCTTAAGCAAATACAGAAAATATTCATTCATTATTCTTGTCTTTACATAAAAAAGAAAATAATGAAGCTCTACCTTATATTTGGGATCTGATTTTTCCATTTGTTCCCAGCAGAGATCCTTTCTTGCAGAATACAGGTTTGGTAGATTAACATTTTTCTGTCCACTTTCATCTCATGCTTGCTCAGGCCTGTTGGTCTCAACAAAGTCAGTGACTGGGTGCAGTCAGAGAGGCTTTCTTAGATAAATGATCTATTACCAGCTGCTACAGTTTAGATGCGCAAATTACTTATTTGTGTCTTAGTAAAAATAGATTGAAAATTGTTTAAAAGTGTTTCTTCATTACTTTAAAAGTCATATTAATGCAAATATGAGATTCTCTTGTGGACCGCCATTCAACCGAAGATATTATATAAATGATAATTCCTAAGAAAATATCAAATGCCGCAGAAAAACGTGTTGAATGTAACTTCTACAACAGATAAAATTCAAGTCACTTCTACATCTAAGTATGGATAGTGACTGTAACAGCAGAATCTCCCTAATGTTACGTAGTTCACTGTGTTCTGTCAGCTTCATGATATGAGGGGCTAGTGTCCGGCCAGCTTTGAAGAGCCAACTTTAAAGTCGATGCCAGGGGACAAAAATAGATTATCACTGAATGAAGAGGAGAATGGCTTCCCCTAAAGGCATGAAATACCTTAAATCCCAAATTCCAGATTCATCCTGCCATTCTTCTCTCATCCCTCTTCTCCTTTAAGAGACAAATGCCCACAAACACCGCCTAAATCACTGAATTAGCTCTTTCTTATTGTAGCCGATTAATCAAAAGTGCTGCTTTTACACAGCCTAAGAGGCGTAAGGTGGTCCACATGCTGGCAAATATTAAACAAGCATTATTAGATAAAACAAACACACCATAAAAAAGGGGGCAAGCAGAGTTTACCATGTCTGTCTTGCCTTAAATACCAACAGAAGCTAAAACAAAGGAAGAAAGAGAGCTGCTGATCTGAGGGAAAGAAAAAAAAAAAGAAATATAAAGGGGTTATTTAGAAGTGGATTCAAAGCTCCATCTGAAGTTATTATTCAGTTGATTATTATAAATTTCCACATTTATAATAACCAACGTTTTTTTTTTTCTTTTTGGCTTGTTAATTTTTGTTTCTCCCCCCCAAAAAACAGTCTGAAATATCTTCCAGAGTCAGCATCATGGATTGATAACCATTATAAAGCTGCAATAGTTTTATGATATCAAGAAAATATACATAATAAATGTTCAATATCAGTTGAGTTGTTCTATTTAATTTTTCTCTAAATGTGTTTTTCATTAAAATGAAGGACATATTGATTATTATAAGCGTTAATATGGTATAGCAACATCACAAAATTGTCTATGGCACTTATTGGATATTAATATCTGTCAAAAATATAGAATAGAGGAAGTAAGTAGGAGTAGTTTAAAAATGTTATTTTGTGTAGTTTTTGGTCTTTACAGAGAAACCATCTTTTTTACTAATAATTTGAAATGGTTGAATTTGTCTTTCTCCAAGTGTATGAGCTTCAAGCACTGTTATTCTTTGGTGACTAGAGCAGAAGAAAACTCTGAGCCTTTCACCTGGTTCAATGCACCTTTAAGGTTTCTTTTTGTTTATTTATTTATTTTTTTTTACTTTGGTTGTGTTAATGGATATTGAACATATAGCAATTGTAATTTGATCTCTGTGTTTTACTTTTTTCCCTCACTTTTTGGAATCCCTTTAAATTTCCTGGTGGGAAATTTCTTTCCAATATATAAAGATGTTTTTACATGTACTGTTAATCTAGCAAAGTGCATCTTAAGAATGAAAAGAAAAATACAAAAACACTTTTCTTGATAAAAACGGGACACTAAAGGGCTTGTGACTCACACAAGGAGAGTCAAAAAATAGAATGGGACGTAAAAATAGTTATTCATTGAGACTTTAATCAGAGAGTCTATTTAAATAAGAGACTAAATAAAGATGGTTTTGATTAGGACAGAATCTTTCCTTTTTTCAGTCGGTAAACAATCCACAAACAAAACACTGTCGTTTAATTTTAGAACAAGCTGAAAGGAGGCAGATTCATTTAACCATCAACTAAAACCAGCTTGAGCTCTTTTCAGCCAATATCTTTGCTTGAATAACATATTAAGCATTTGGATCCAAAACAGACATCATAGTTCAACTGTGGTAACTTCATTGAAAAAGAAAATAAATGCTGAGAAAATCATTTGTTTTAGGGAGACAATTTCCTACAAAAATCTCTTTGATTACTCTGTGATAAAATTAAATATTTAAGCTGAGGGAAAACTATTTTTTGCACTGCTGTTAAACCATATTGGTTGAAAACAGCAACAAAAAATTGAGAAACTAAACCAAATTTAAGTTATAGTACAAAAAAAGCATGATTAATGAGCACTTGTGGACATTTGTCTTTCAGGGTGGCATCTGGCAAAGCTCCACAGCGAGTTGAAACAGGCCCTGCTGTGGTGTTTGTCATCCTGACTGCTCATCCATCATCATTAGCGAGCGCTGTGGACTCAACAGTGTTTAATGCACTGGTATCTGAATAATTACAGCAGATAAATGGATTTAAGGTGCTCTTTTGGGACGTTCTTAATCACTGCAGAGAAGTGATGAACAAAAGTGTTCAGTGAGTCGAACAGAATATATGGAAATAGTTAAATAAACTGGCCATTGTTTCAGTCGATAAAGTGAGATTTCTTCTTTTTTAATCTTAGCAGTGTTTTCGTGTGCTGATAGGATTTGGTAAAACACCTGAAAGCCTGATGCAATCTGTGCCTTTCCTGCTCAGCAGCTATCAAAAGAATGTCTTGCTTGCATGGCTCAGGAATCATGTGGTTTCTGCTTTATCTGTCAGCTACTGACTTCTTTTCTTCAACAGCCTCTTGCAACATTACGTAATTTTTAAAAACTTTTGCATTGTCCTTAAAGAAATTTTATAGATTGCTCATTCTGCTTACAACTTAATTTGTCTTTTTTATTGTCTGTGTGTGTATAAATGACTCCATCTCTGTTATTGAGTGTTTTAGCCAGCATGTGATTTTTAAGGCCCATTTCCCCTCGGCCTGTCAGTGTTGTTTCTGTTTTGGACTCTGCTCTTTTCTGGACACATCACTGGGTTAATTCCCCTGCATTGTTTAAAAGAGCTGTCAATCATGTGAAGTCATTCATAAAGAAAACAAACCCAGTGATGTATAAATACACTCCCCAACTCACTCAGTCACACTCACAAAGCACCCTAAGCACATAAACAAACAAGCTGCAGGGTGAGAACGGGCACATATAATCGAAAGGAATCTGACTCTTCCTGTGGAGAGAGCTCCCTCCGTGATAACAAGACCATGACTCCAACAGCAACAGCATACTCACAGAGAAACACAAGCAGTCAGAGTTACTGCTTTGCTTTGTTCATAAAGGCAGATTGGACTCACACTGAATGCTGCTCGCCCCCGTCCAGGAAAAAGGGTCCAGCCTGGAAAAGTAAGGGTTGGCCTTGCCCAGCATGCAGGAGCCCTGGCTGGACACATCGAAGAGGGGCCGAGGAACCAGCCCAAGAGCCTCCATGCAGTCAAACATGTTGTCTCAGAGAGCAGTGAGCTGGGAGAAGAGCCCAGAAAGGAGCTTCCTTTGGAGTAACTCAATGCCCTGCTTGGTCCAGGTGTTCCCTATCTGTCTGCCTCTGCCCTCTGGTCTTGTTCTTTTCCTCCTCACATGAACCAAACCTCTTCTTTCTGCCTTTTCCTCCTCCCTTTATCTCTCTCTTTATTCCAGTCTATCTCTGTTCCTAGATCACTTGCTTGGCTGCCTGCTTTTGCCCTGCCTGCTGTAACTGATCTCACCTCCCCTCTTGCTGGCTTTGTGGGCCTCTCACACTCCAGCACACTCACAGCCAACTATCTGCTGTGGTGGAGTTGGTGGGGTGGGGTTCAGGGAGGGAAAACAAGCCTGAGGAGGTGTGTCGCTGCTCTCTGATTGACCAGATACCATACACCCCGTCCCTCCCTTTCTCGCTCCAAGTTTTCAAACTAAAGTCTAAATATTTCATAGGGGAAAAAATGAGAACAAATGTTTTTTCTTTCTGTTTCTGTTTTCTTTGTTTTCTCTCTTCCAAACAGCAAAAGCGTGGCTGCCTTCTGCTAAAATGATACAAAGAAATCTCCACTCGCATAGATTAGTTTGAGGTTTTGTGCAGATGGAAAGATAAGCACAAAGAGAAGCATCCTGGTGAGGATTTCATTTCCAGATTTCCCTACTTTAACTGCTTTACTAGTGCAGTAGGCTAACTATTGTAAATTGATAAATGCAAAAGTCACAAGTCATAAAACTCCATACCCTGGAATATACTCCTGTTTTTCTATTTTTTTTTTTTTGCGTGAAATTTTCTTAATGTGAATGAAATAAACAGCAGATGATAAGGAAAAGATAACCGTGGTTATCTGACATGGTGCAACAATATAGCAACAATTCATAACACGTCATCTCCAGACAATTTACAATTCAACCAGATCATACAGTTAAATTTATTCAAAGTTTTCTAAGGAAAACCAGTTGATTGCATCGACTCATTGATGCACACCAAACATTCCTGTTGTGACAATCGAGAGGTAAAACTCCAGTTTAACAGGAAGAAACCTCCAACAGAACCAGGCTCTGTCTGAGTGGCCATCTGCCTAGGTATCACACTGTAAAAGCTAGGCAGTTGGTGGATGCATTATGAGGATGGGTTAGCATCCCCCCTGGAAAAAAACAAAGCCTAAAATCAAAGGAGGTAATTTCAAGTTGGAGAGATATTAACATGAAATCATAAAACCATTGGCAATATTACCATTCTTAAAGACTCAACTGCCTTTTGCAAGATATTGATGTTTGCTCAACAGAGTGGAATTTATCCAGGATTTGGCAGTGATGAAACAACCCAAAGGAAGAGGTTATAAGCAGGGTTTGTTTTTTGACTGGTAAGGCCAAAACATACCTTGATTCTTAAAAAACCAAACGAGTGAAAGTCAAGTTATGAAGAAACTCATGAGTATACGCAACAACTTTAAAATGAGACATTAAAATGTGTTGGCTTATCATTTGGTTCGCTGCAACAGAGAGATCAATACAAAAAAAAGAAAAAGAAAAGGAAATTGAGCATATTATAGCAACTGGAATTGAAATTCTGTCTTTCAAGAAGGATACTGGATTTGAGATCACCAGTCCCTTGTTAAATCTGGTAAAGAAGCGGAATAAATTCTGGTTTATGTTTGAACAATCCATGAGGTATCTGCTGCCCAGTCATGTCACTTTGACATGCCATCTATGTAGCCATATTCAAGGCACAGACAGTTCTGCATAGGAAACATGGTGGACGAGGGACATCTCCTTATGATTTGACACATAAATATTACTTCGATCAAGAGATTGAGAACAGCTCTTGGAAGTAGCCGTTTTCGACTTCTACATGTTTTGTGTTGTTGGAAGTTCTTAATCTGTGCCCTAAATGCCCCCCCTAAAGCCAGCAAGAACACAGAAATATTTCAGACCAATTTCTACATACATCTGTCATTATCGTGAGTTTGTGAATTCACAAATCTCTTGACAATTCATCTTACTAGCAAGATCATATGCCTGTGGCACTATGGAGAATCCATATTCCATATAACATTAATTTTTTACTGGATCTGTTTTTCTAACCTGGAAGAAAAACACTTGCCTTCATAGTAATATCCACGTGAGGGTAACCCTATTTCTGCAGCATTGGTATCAAACTCCTTCTGTAGATGCATTGTTTACTGGGCTTGTGTGGCGCTGTAAACGTAGGTGATTCCTGGAGGGAACCGTTGAACACTACTCTACCTAAAAATGACGATGGTCACTCATTTTCCATGATAGGAAGGGGGATCCTGCTCAGAATAGAATTCATGAAGTTTACTCCGATTTGCATCAATCAAGAAAAATGGGACTTTGTGCGTGATTTTGATGAAGGAATAGCAAAAAAACACAGATTTTTGCATTTTGCATTAAAGCTAGGCTCTTTAAAATCAGAACCAACAGGTCACAGTTTTATAAAACTGTCCTCTCAATTTCTAATCATTACATCTCCGACTCTTTGACAGCAGCAATTAAGATAAATTACTTTTAAAACATAAACAACTGAGTCATGGGGACAAAGTTGAACTCTCATTAATTGAGTAAATTCACATAATCATCTGGCTACAATTTGTACTTTTTGAAGCTCACTCAGCTCAATTCCCTCATGTTAACAGGAATTTTTCAATGTTCCCTGTCATCTTTCCCCATTTACCCGAAGCTTTTACAATGCTAAAATCCAAGCTGAACTCTTTTAGAATTTACTTCAAGCGGACACAGCTATCCTCCCCTCCTGGAGCTCCCCTCAGTCACACTGAGGTGCAACTGTGCAGCAGGCGGGCCATGCTGGCCCCAAACTCTGCAAAGTCTGGACACTTGGTGTACGAGACATACTCCCCCTCCCTCCGCACCTCCTCCCTTTCCTTCCCTCGTTCAAGAGAGATGAACTCTGGAAGAAACCCCCACTGGGGCCCTAACACCCCACCACCACCACCACCCTCAGACAGATATACACTCAACTTGGCCTGCCTGTGGCTTCATACTATCCACACTTCTTTGTATATTTATTTGTACTGCCTTGTTTCTTTGTTTTTTATGCACTTTGTGTTTTTACAGCTTCCTCTATCCTGAATATGTTAATGAATATTTTTCTCGAGTTTTCTTTTTTTTTTTAATTAAATCTCTTTTCTATTTTTTTATCTGTATCTTTTCAGGTTCTACCTGTTTATATTTCTTTGTTGTTGTTGCTTTTTTCTACCCTCTTACACAGCTGGAAGCAGAGCTGCTCAGCATCAGCCTGCTGAGCTCTCTCCACACCTTGAGACAATTAGCCTCCCTGCCTCAGAGCACCCTACTCCCTGCTGCTGTTAAAGAAAAGAAGCACATAAATACAAAGGGAAAATAAAATGAATAGCTGGATCAGTTTCCTTCAATTTCAGCAAAACCGGGGCTCACTCATCTTCTTTCCTTCACAGAAAGGGAATCTCTTTGAAACGGTAATTGAAAACAAGCTTTTATCCTTTTCAAACATTTAACTTGTAAGCGGAAAGCTTTCTTTAGAAAAATCTAATTTCAACCTAAGTATCCTCTTCTCATGTCTGACACGAACACATAGGACTGAACAGTGGAATTTATTTCTCAGCTCCTCCTGCTCGTTATTTGCACAAAGTCCTGCTGCGGTCGTCCGCAAGCACACTGATATGGTCACAAATGTGAAGCAATGAAATGTAGGCGAAGGACTGCTGGTTGTGATATTGATGAGTGTTGGAATGCACAGCAGAAAGAGCAGTGGGAACATGTGTGTGTTTTTGTGTGTCTGTGAGCGTGGGTGAGTGTGCAGACACGCTGACAATTATGTGTGTGCTTAAAGAGAGTGCCTGTGATGACAGACAGAAAAAAAAAACACACAAGCTTCACTCTGTGCCTTCAGGTTTCAGTTACTATCACATTCGCCACACACACACATGAAAAACAGTCAAAATCAGATTAGAACTAAGGACAAGATGTCAACAGTGCAAAAGTTACGATCATGTGAAAAAGATCAGGATATCCTTTTTAAATATTTAGTTCTTTGTTTTCATTACCAAATATTCAGATACTTGTGTCTAACCTTAGATCAACTCCTGTTTTTTTAGCTGGGAGAAATTTTAATGGTGTCTGCTGCAAGTCAAATGATTCAGCAGGTCCTCAGTGGATTAACTTGCCATGCCGTGTTTCATATTTATTCATTTTAATTATAGAATTTGTCTCGTTTACTTTTTTAAATATACTGAAAGAGAGCATCCCCTGGTAATGACATTCACACCTCTATGCTTCTCCATTGGTTTAAGCTTATTTTCCTAGAATTGGCTGTTTTCATTTTCAAAGTAAAGATTTCAATAATACGTGGAAAACTTTTCTGCTTCTCTGTTGACACAACAAATCAGTTTGAAACTAATAAGTCCAATGAACATTATTTTAACAGTCATGTTGAACGCACAGATGCTGTCTTAGAAAATGACTTGTCTTTAGAGATGTTAATGTTATCTTAACTTGGTGATTTAATTAGATTTTTTTGCAACAATTCAAAGAAGCTTAGGGCTGACGTCTAGAAGACTTAAATGCATATTTATCACATTCCTGTTCAGCAGCAGCAAGAACTCACCGTATCAGTAAAAAAGCACCTGAGGGTGCTTTTCATATGGATAACCACTAACTTTCAGATCTGGAGATGTTTAAACACTTGTCTCATTAGCAAAGTCCAGACTTATAAGGGTCTGGTTTGAATTTACCTCCAGCTTTTACCTTAACCATGTCGTCTTTGGTTCAAATAGCATTAGCGGGGAAAAAAATAAAAATCTGGACTCATTAGCTGCAGAGTTACTCATGGTGAGAACTAAAGATAAAAGCTTGCTGGGGCGTGCAGCTCCAAGAAGCTTTTATCACCTTTTGGATGTCTACAAATAACACAGGATCTTTTAACTTTCTTGCAACACATCATGACATCGTGACAATTACAACAAGCTTGGATATTTATGAAATACAGATATTTTACCAGATGACCCCCAAAAACAAGGAAGCCAATATAATTTTTTAGATTAAGCTGGATTCTGGTGGCTATTGCCATTAATATTTAAACATTTAGCTAAATCAGTTTATCCCTTTATAACTTAAAATCAGGTTCTCTTTATTCCTACCCTATATTTGGTATCTAATACTTTTGTATAAACTTATTTACACATAAATATGATTTGGAAATGTAAAAATTATCATTATATATTATAATTGTAAATATAAATAACATGTATTATATAGAGAGTA